CCTCTGTCTTCTAGAGGTCCAGGACCCTTTGCTGCCCCTTCCCAGAAAGTGTCTATTTCCTCTTCCCTCTGTCTCCCTCAGCCAGCCCAAATGAATCCCAATGGTTCCAGAGCATTCGCAGGCTTGGATGAGGAGGGGGCTTAGAGCCGGCAAAAAGAATACATGAAAGTCGGGCGCCTGGGTGGCTCAGTTGGTTAAGCGACTGCCTTCGGCTCAGGTCATGATCCCGGAATCCTGGGATTGAGTCCCATATCGGGCTCCCTGCTCAGCAGGGAGTCTGCTTCTCCCTCTGACCCTCTTCCCTCTCATGCTTTCTATCTCTCATTCTCTCTCTCTCAAATAAATAAATAAAATCTTTAAAAAAAAAAAAAAAGAATACATGAAAGTCACTTCACGTGCTTCCTACAGAGGAGGAAACTGAGGCCCAGGAAGGGCCTTCCTTGCCACGTCAGTGAGTTAGGATAGATGGTCTCCAAGTCAAGTCCGTCCCGTCCCCAAGCGAAGCTCTGATGGCCCAGAGGCAGTATGATATGAGCACAGACTCAGGGTATCTGTCAGGATGGGGCAGGACAGCCCACTGCTCCCTGTCTCCCTTCACCAGGACACTGTGGGGAGTGATGGAATGGGGACCAGCTGAGTCACAAGAGGAGAATGAGCCTTTCTCAAGACTCTCTGATGTGCCCAGAGGTGACCGGCTTTCATTTAATCCACCTTTCATTTAATCCTTAAAGAGCCTTTGAAGGCCAGTGGTTATTGGCCCATATTACAGATGGGAAAACTCAGATTGAAAGAGTTTGGTAACTTACCCACAGTAAGTCACACAGCTAATAAGTGGCAGAATCAGTACTTGAACTCAGGTCTAGCTGACTCTGAGTCATGGGTTCTATCCGGTGGTCCACGAAGATCCCCCTGCAAACCTCAAGTCTTTGCCACCCTCCTGGCAGGGAACTCTCTTCCCAGCTCACCTCTCAAAAGTGCAAGCAGGTTGTAGCTCTCAGGTCTTGGCCACCTCTCCCTGATCACCAAAATCTAAAGGAGTCTTCCCTTTTATTATTCCACCTTCATAGCCTTCATCCTCATCTTATTTCTTAAGTATCTTATTTATATATCGCCCTTTTCTCCCCCCAACCCTGACCCCATTATTAGCTACCGGAGAGTAGGAACCTTGTCCTGCACCAAAGTGTCCCTGGGCCTAGGGTGTCAGTAAATATTTGTTGAATGAATGAATGAATGAATGAATGAGTGGACCTGCTGCTTAGCCTAAAAAGACACAACCAAGAAAAAGTGCGTTTAAGGTATTTTCCTTAGCAGAGCAGTTTTTTCTGCTTGGTGCTATCACCGCGCACACCCTCTGTTTTCCAGGGAAGGAAGCTACCTTCTGAGCTGATAAAGGGGAGGAGAGGTTCCTCTGGACCCAGAGGCTGTTCTCCTGCAGGCTGGCCCTACGGAGCTCCCCCAAAAGTCCCCAGAAGTGGGCAGCCCTCCCACCTGCTCCCCAGAAGGCAACCTGCGGAGGAAAACCTCCCGGGGTGACCTGGCTCCACCCCGCCAGGCCAGTGAAGTGTGGGAAACCCGACCCCGGCCGGGCGCTGGGCGGGGCTACCCCCGCGTGGCCTCGGCTTTGTTTGCCTCTGTGTATGGCAACCAGAAACCACCGCAGCCAGCAGTTCTCGGAGCCCGGCTCCCGCACCCCGCCCCCCCTTTATTTTAATCTCCTAAACTGATTTGTCAGCAGCAGGAAGTGACATGACAGCTTTCCTCACAAAAGGGAAACTCCTCCGCGTTACCATGGGGATGGAGGCCACTGTATGATCACAGATTTATATAATCTTAAAGGTGTACACACCATGATGTCATCCGGGATGGGCAGGGGAGGGAGGGAGGGAAATGGACTCCAGAGACTGCAAGTCCGAGGCAAATTAGCTACGATTTGCAAAATTCCAAGGAAAGGAGAGGATGCGGTGGAGGCGTTTGGGGCTGGAACTATCCTAATGGAAACCACAGAAAAGCATAAAGAATGCATTGATGCATCTTCTAAGGCTGGGAGGAATCTTACCCATTAGATCCAGGGCAAATTGGTCATTTTAGAGGAGGGAAAACTGACACCAGAAAACTGCTAGAAGTCGTTAGGAATGGGGGATGGAATCTTAGTGTACCTCCAGGGCCCCGTACCTGCCAGGCACTTGACATTCATGAGCCTATTTCCTCCTCACAAGTGAAGCAGGTTATATTATCCCATTTCACAAGTAAGGTTGCTGAGGCCCGAAATGATAAATAGCTTTTCCACCCCAAAATTATATGGTAAACCATGCTGATGTCTGGTTGGCTACAACATTCACCCCTTTCCCCACTCCCTCAAGCTGTCTTTTGGACCGAACTAGGACTTCGGTTCCCATTCTTCTTTTGGACCCAGGTTCCAATCTCTGCAATGCTGTTTACTTGCTGTATGAACTTGGACATGTCACTTCCTCTCTCTGAGCCTCAGTTTCTTCTTCTGTAAAATGGGTGCTGCTGCTAACGGTTTTAATGTGAAGGTGCATAAAGCAGCACAGTGGCTGGCACGTGGTGCTAGCTCTAAAATTGAGAGCTATTATAACCACATTACAAGTGTTAAATGATGGACTTGTCTATTTCAATCTTCCCTTGAGAAACAAACATTTTAATACTTTGAGCATCTTTCTCCTCATCATGAGGTACTTCCCTCCCCCTCCTCAGAAAAGCAGTCTCAGACCAAAAGTGACATACTCCAGAGGACCCAAAGACCAGGAATCAGATACAGGGAGCAAGAGGGCTGTCACCCCTGCTCTCCTGAACTGGTGGGAGTGGAGCCGCTTGCACTGGGAGAAGTGAGTGAATTGTTTTCACTGGCGGCTCCCTTAGGCAGCCGCTGTATTTTTCCACTGCGTGGATCACACTGGAGATTAATTTTGGTTCAGCCAGTGCCTGCCAAGCAGAAAGCAATGGCCTGAGCCCACAGGGAAGTCAGCCACAGCATCTGCCACGGACTTGAAGTTGCTGGTATGTTTCCACGAAAGGAGATATTCGCCATAGTAAATTTCTAGGGTTTGATAAAAACACTGGGTACAGTTTGTTTTGAAAGGCGTGAACACACTTGCAGTTGAAAGCCCAGCCAAGGAAATGAGCTTGCCAGCTGAGGGTAAGTTCTTAGAACACAGGGATCTTTCAAGCCTTGAGAGTCAAGTGGCAGATGGTGAACCAGTGGGGAAAGGTCGACACTGATTGTGTGTCAAGGTCTTAAATGACCTGGCAGGACCAGGACCACTGTTCAGGGGCACTACTTGAGAAGTAAGAGGTTCCCTTTTCTGCTTCCTACATCACTTTGTCCAGAATCAAGTTGGGCGGGGGGGGGGGGGGAACCAGAGCTATGGGGCCAGTAAACCCAAGAGCTTCACTGTTATTTAATTCAACATTACAGGCTGGATTATGGGTAGGTAGTCAATTACACCTTCTTTGTTTTGGCCTGTTCGGCAAGAGTAAAAATCCAGAATCTTGCCCTAGAGCAAATCAGATTTGATTGCCTGTCTTTAACAAAATTATGACAACAGAGCAGCAAGTGACCTGGAGGCAGCCACCAAAAATTGTGTGTGTGTATATATACATACATACATATATATATATACATACATATATATATATATATATATGCTAGCATGGGTGTATTCCAAAGCTTTAACGATCAGGTCAGGGGTGGGAATTTCAGGTGATTTGTCTGTGTTGTATTTGTTCATAGCACTTCATATTCTTTTCATAAGAATAAAGGTCTTTTCAAAGGCGAGGGGAAAAAAGAGCACGTGAGAGAAGCAAGTGATAAAGTGCAAGCCACATAGAATTAGGGAACAAAACAGATGTAGGGCCCAATTCCCCCCACTGCCACTTAGGTACGCTGGGTCTCAGCATCTTTGTCTGCAAAAGGGTCCTGCTGAGTTGTTTGGGGAACAGGTAGCACACACCACCTTACACATAGCAGGAACACGTTTACATCGGGTGTTTTGGAAAACCATCATCCTCATAATTCCAACACAGTTCAGAAATGTGGGTGGCTTTTTATATTATCCTGGGTAAAGTAGTAAATAAAAAAGGCAACCCAAGCAAATGGTCATTCCTTTTTGGCTCTGGGAACACTTGGGCTCTCTGTGTAACATGGTAGGAATACGTGGGTGGTCACCTGGATCTGATACTCAAGAGTTCAGCTGCAGTACCTGGTTTTCCATGATAGATCACACTTTTCTACCTCCCTTATAACCCAGCCATCTTGGGTTGGAAGGGCCCCCAAGTAGTAGAAGACCAGATCCCAAGACACACATCTGCGAGCCCCTTGTCCAGATTCTGGTTCACTCATGTGAGAGGGATTAGTTGGGGCTGCCCAAGAAATAAAGCATTAAGATTTCAATAGAAATGCCATAATTTATTCTGTTGTATAAAAAAAGTCATCCTTACGTAACAAAATGTCTTCTTAAAAGAAGAAATATATTATTTCAGTTCATAAATAATCAAACACACAACCACTGGCAACTAAAAAAACCCAACACTGGTGCTTCCCATCAGTGCTGAACACAAACCTGCTTAGGATATATTTACAGGATATTACAGTACTCAAACACAAAAATTGAGGTATTTGGTTCTTCTAGGAGTAGACACTGACATTTGTGAAGGCAGACCACCTCCACAAAAATAAATAAGGTATATATTCTCATAGGTATGTGTCGTCAGGAATGATAATACTGGTAGGTATGTCAAGCATGAAGAGTTCCTACAAAAAACAGGAGCAAGCAAAAAGAAACTGGCTCATAAACAGAGTCCTTTCTCTTCTGCCCCTTTTTGTCAGAGGGACTTGATGTACCCACTATATATATATATATACATATATATATATATGTATATATATATATATATTGGTCCCGAATGTGCTGAGTTCAGCAAACATCTTGATGCTACATCATCACTATGACTGCTTAGGAACCCACTGGAGCTCGGGGTGAAATTAAATAAATAAGGACCAGCCCTCACAAGCACCCTCCCCAGAGTTATTGCATTTCTCCTCAAGGAGCCTAGAGTCCCAGTGGGTTGTGGAGATCACCTCCCGTGGCCTTTCAGCAGCTGGGAGAGGTCGTAATGGGGCTCTGAAGGTAGCTCAATGCACTGTTCGTAGAGTGGACGGGGATGGAGACAGGAAAGTTGAAGACCGTGGTGGTGGACGTGCTGCGGTCCAACACAGCCATGGCAGGGCTCCCAGCCTCTGCTGAGCAGTGTGGGGCCAGGACCTGCGACTCAAACTGCAGGAGCTGGCCCATGAAGCTGAAGTTGGGGGAAATGATGCTTCTCCTCTGCTTCACAAACTCAAAGGCCTCATCCAGCTTGACTCGGTTAGTCCTCATGAGGTAAGCGAGGCAGATGGTAGCTGACCGGGAAATGCCTGCCTGGCAGTGGACAAACACCCTTCCTCCAGCATTTTTGATGGAGTCTGGAAAACAAAGGCTGGCTGGTTACTTGAGAGCTCAGGGGAACAACCCCAACCCCAGGCAGAGGGTGCCTAAGAAAGTGTGTCCTATCCAGAGAACAGCAACATCACCTCATGCCATCAGTGTTCTGTGGAGGCAATGTGGGCACTGTGCAAAGAACAGTAAGGGATTTAAACCAAGACCAGGCATCTCCACCAAGCAGAATGCTCTTGGATGGGTTAAGTGAATTCAACTTTCTGAGCCTCAGTTTGCTAATTTGTTGAATGGGACATCAAATCCCTATTCTGCAGGGATATTGTCAGAACCAGACTGATATTTAATGTATGGAGGAAGGCTCAGACGAATGTCATTCAAGTCCTTGCCACAGAGTTGGGCTCGGTGACTAAAATGGGGGGAGCAAGGCAGAAGTCCCAGGCATCCGTCCATTTACCTATGAAGTCAATGGCCTCGTTGAACCAGGAGCTGATGTCCGCCTTGTGGTTGTCTTCCACAGGGATGCTCTTATACTGGTAGTGACCCTCAAAATGGTTGGGACAATTGGCTGAGACATTGATCAAGGCAGTGATGCCCAAGGCGTCCAGCATGTCTTTGCGGGAAGCATGATAGGCACTGCCCAGGTACAGAAAGGGCAGGATCTCCACTGGGCCACCCTGAAATCCAGAAATATCCAACACTTGTCAAGCTTCGCTCAAAGTCAAGGCCGGTGCCCACACCCACAAAAACTCCCTGCTGGAAAAGTCAGTTGCAGGTACCGGGAGGCATTTAGCACTGTTGTTGGAGTATAAATAAATAGGGGACTAAACCCATGTGCCCCAAGTTCATTTCTGCAGTGCCAGCAATTAGACTCCCCTCCATCAGACCACTTAACCGTGGGATAAATTAATAGCCCTGTGTCCCCTCCCTTATAAACTTGCAGGTTACTATGGATATTCTCACTAGTACTGCTCTTCCAGGCCTTTGCCAGCTGGTCCTTCCCCGCCCCCACGCCCCCAGCACAGACCCCTACTAACCTGATCATAGAGTGGGGTGCTGCAAGAACTGCACCCTGATTCGGTGCTGTCAGGGACGCTAGTACTCAGAGGAAGGCTGAGCCCCATGGGGGTCGACTGTTTGCTGCACAGTTCTGGGCAGGAAGCTGAAAAACCTTCATATCCTCCTGGGAAGACAAAGAGACATATTTGTTTCCATTAGTATCGTCGGGGACAGGGCACCTTCATCCAACCTCCGCGCCCAGCAGGATTGAAGTTCACCCCGGAGAGGCCCTGGCAAGTCTTTGTTCTTAAAGCCAACGACAAGTCCCCGGACTAGGGCTCGGGCGCCCACGCGCTCCAGTGGGGTAGCCCCAAGGGGCCGAGCGCCAGGGGTCCCGCGGCAAGGCGGCGGGGGGCGAGCGGCGCCAGAGCTTCGCCGAGGACGTACCTTTGAGGAAGAAGACTTGAGCGGCGCGCGCCTCGCGGCGGAGCGCGCCGGCGGCCAGGGCCAGGGTGCTGTCGCGCTTGGCGCCGTCCAGGGCGGCGCTGCGCTCGTCCAGCAGCACCACGGCGTGGTAGGCGCCGGCCAGCAGGCGGCCGCGCAGCTCGGCGTTGGGCACGATGTGCTCCAGGCCCATGGCGCCCTTGGCCCGGCGCCGCACGATGGTGCTGAAGCGCACGTTGACCGAGCCGGCGATGTGGCCGGCGTTGAAAGCGAAGAAGGAGCGGCAGTCCAGCAGCAGGCACTGCGCCGCGCGCTCCCGAAGCAGCGTCCGCAGGCCTCCGGCGTCCAGGGAGCCCACTTCCATGACCATGGCCGGCCCTAGCGCCCCCAGCGTGCCCGTTCTCAGTGCTCTTTGTCCTCGGAAGCCAAGAGCAGGGCAGCGGCTTTCGAAGAAAAGCCCGACCCTAGTTCTCTCTGCGCCGAACCCCAGACTGCCCTTAGACTGAGTGAGGGGGCGTCGCGCGGGACTCTCGGCCGCCTAGGCTTCTTTGCGGCTCCCCCGACTGCCCCTCCGGCCCTACGCACACCTATTACAGCCCGGCGTCCTTCGCAGCGAGCGCAGACTGGGAGAACGCGTTTATATGTGGCCTCTCTGGGGGCGGAGCGGGGCGGAGAGGAGCGGGCGCGCAGGGGGAGGGGAGTTGTTTGTTTGAATGGCGGCCACGTGACCATGTGGTGACGTCACCCGCCCAGCCCGGCACGGCGCCGGCGGAGCCAGAGGCGAAGACGTCATCGGCCTCGGAGCGGGATCCGCTGGCTGCTTGCTGGCTCCGGCCCCAGTCCGGCCGTCCGGCCTGCGCCTGGCGCGTCCCCGGGGATCCGGCCTGCGCCGCTCTCCGGGCTCAGGGGGGAGAAGAGGTGGCGGGCGCGCTGCCAGCCAAAGGCTGACCTCCGGGATCCGAGCGGCCGAGAGAGCGGGCGGTGGGCCAGCGGCCTCCCCCTCCCCTGCCCGCCTCCCCCTCCCCTGCCCCCTTCCCCCTCCCCTGCGCCCCTCCCCGCGCCCCCTCCGCCCGGAACGGAAAGGGCCTTCCTGCGCCTTTGCATACACGTGTGCCCTTTTCGCTCATTTCCTCGTCACAATAGGCGTGGAAAACTCAGGTTCCCCAGAAGAAGCGATTTACTTGCCCAATATCACAATGCTGGGGGTGGAGGAACAGAGAGGAACCTGAAATGAGGGTTGGAGAAAATGTGATGTTTGCCTATGGATATGTTCCTACTAAGGACAACCGGGGTGAGTTGGGGTGAAGTTCAGGGGAATGCCTTCGGCTTAGGTTTCCCAGACTTGTCCTCCTGTTACTTAAGAAAAACACACTGAAACAAGTAAAATGCCTTCCAATCGAAGCCCCTCTAGGGCAAGTTATCCCTGATCATGTCGTTCCTAGAGGACTAGGAGCCGAGAAAGGCGGGTAAAGGGACTGAAATCCCAAGTGTGGGGTCGTAAGGTGCGGTGGTGGCTTGCGGGGTTCGGCGTTTGGGGAGGCTACTACCCCCCGCCCGGCGTGGCTCGACAGCGCCTTCCAGGGGTCACTGGGCACGTTTCTGGCCACGTTCGCTTAAGACAGCTTCTCTGTATATGCTGTTTGGGCGCTACTATGCCCTAAGCTCAGGCTTCAGTCCCCACGCCCTGACTCTCGTCATCTATGTGGGCTGAATTCGAAATCCAGTACTACGGGGCTTTAGGAGTCCAGGACGAACGTTTGGGAAGACCCTATGCGGCCACCCGCGCGGAGTCCTAGTGACGGCCCCCTGGGCAGGGGAGGGCGGCACCGATGTGCTAGGTACACAAACAAATATTGCGCCATCCGGCCAGGGTGCCGAGTCAGGAACATTCTGCGGTTTCTTCCCCTCTCCTGTGGAGAGGGGGGATGGGATGGGGATTTCAAGGACCCTGTGTCGTTGATCTGTGGACTGTATCATCAGAGACAACTTCTGCATTTGTCTTGTTTAGCTTCTGTGTTCACACATGCTCAAACTTTCTGTCTACGTTCTAGAAAAGTTCCGGGTTGAGTACGTTTTCTTAAGGGCATTTTCTACCTTTAGATGAACCCTGAGGACGGAAAAGAGGTCCTCAGATAATGGCAACACCCTCCCTATATCTTTTCAAAAAATTATTTGTTTATACTATTTATTCAGCTGAGGAACTCAACATATTTTTTGCATTGAATCATAAAATGTTACAGCTGCTGACATTTCACAGCATACCAACTTTATCTGCCCCAATTTTTTTTAACCAAGAGCATTAATTACATCTTCCCCTACCCACATTAAAAAAAAAAACAACTTTTCATACAGCTATTATAGAGGTGGTGGCACAGTCTGGCCCTGGAGTCAAGTGTCTGCTGAGCTCTGTGGGTTTTTCCTCTTTATCCTTTTCTGGAAAGAGCATAGTTTGAACCCCCATGCTGTTACTTTGCTTCTGGGTGATCCTACGCTCAGGAGGTGATCCTCACCTCCTGCTGAGCCTCTAAGCCCACATCTGTAGAATGGGTTTACAACTGCCTACTTTGTGGATGGTTTGAGGCCCAAGTGAGAGGTGGTAAGGGTAAGGGACCCAGGCCTTACATTACCCTTTCCCATTATGATTCACTAAATCTTGTTTTCCCCTTCCCAGCAAACCATGTGTGTTTCAGGATCTGGCATCAGAACCTGGGGAGAAGGTCACTACAAAACACTGGTAGGTGTGGTTGGAACAGAGGCGCAGTTCAGGAAAAGGTCCCTCCTTGAGACCGACTAACACAATGGCTCAGGTCGGGGGGTGTGGTGGTAAAGGTGTAGCCACAGAAGACACCAGTCAAGGCAGTGGAGAGGCTGCTGCGGGCTGAAGATTGAGTCAGAGAGAGGCCCAACGTAATCTGGCCTATGGTGATGGCATTGGGACTGGAGTCGTGGGCCTGGCAGGCACAGGGCCATGAAGGAGCATGAAATCGGTGGATATTGACTTGGGAGGGAACTGGGCCTTTCTGACCTGGGCTCTTTCCAGTTTTAGATGTACCTAGAAATAAACCTGGAGGCAGTGGGGGGTAGTGGGAAGGGTTTGAATTCAGAAGGCCTGGATTCCCCACCCTCGATGTGTGGCCTTGAATAAGTCACTTCCCCTGGCTGAGCCTCCACTCCCTCCTGCCTGTGATGGCAGCAAGGACAAGCACCCCAGAACTGTGGGGGACTCACTGTAGCCCGGGATGGCATTACCCTACAAGCCCTATCCAAATCCTGCCCTCGGAATGGATTTTGGATCTGCCCTGGGGTCCCAGAACAGGGGGAGAGAGGGTGGCGCTCTCACGGGGCCCCAGCTCACTGTCTACCCCGTAGCTTGGGCAAGCAGCTTAACATGTGTGAGCTTTGGTTTCCCCTTCTGTAAACCGGGAATACCATCCATCTAGAACTAAGTAAGACCATGTGTGAGAAAGGGCCCGAGAGGGTCACGCCCAGAACGGGTGCTCTCAGGAGAAGGAGCTGGCTCCTGCCGGTCCTGTTCTCTCAGAATCCACAGGCCTTCGACTGTGCTGTCTGGCACCTCCTGCCTTTGCTCCGTACCCTCCATGACTCCTTTCCCCACCAAACCCAAGGCACACCACCCCTGGCCTCACCCATCCATTCGGCCCAGCCCCACTACTGTGATTGGCTCTCTTGTTGTTCTCTGGGCAAACTCCCTGAGCCTGTGTTCCCACCCCCACGCCTTTGCTCACACTGTTCCCCCTCCGCCTGCCAGGATGCTGTGCCCTCTGGGCTCAGCCATATCTTTCTCCATCCGCCAAGACCCAGCCAAAGTGGCATCTCAATGAAGCCTTCCCTGGTTTCGCTAACTTCTCCTGCCCTTGGGTCCTGGAGGACTTTGTCCAAACGTTCTGATTGTGTAAAAGTCTCTTTGATCCTTATCTCACCCTCCCTGAGTTACGTGAGGGCAGGGACTGTTTTTCTCATCTTTGGACCTCCACACCCTACGACCTTGGATGCAGCCGTGGCATATAGTAGGTTCGTAATCTGCGGCATGGGGGAAGAACTTTTCAAAAGCGTACTGTCCAAAAGTAGATGAAGAGAAGGGGTCAGAAGTGTCATTTATTAAGCTTCAGCTCTGTGCCAGCTGCATTACAGTATCATCTAAAGAACTAATCATGCGGGGCGCCTAGTGGCACAGGCGGTTCAGTGTCTGCTTTCAGCTCAGGTCATGGTCCCTGGGGTCCTGGGATCGAGCCCCACATCGGGCTCCCTGCTCAGCGGAAAGCCTGCTTCTCCCTCTCCCTCTCCTGCTCCCCCTGCTTGTGTTCTCTCTCTCTGTCAAATAAATAAATAAAATCTTAAAAAAAAAAAACAACTAATCAGTGATCCTGTGAGGTGGTTGTTCTCCCCATTTTTCAGGCAGGGAAACAGGCTCAGAGAGGGAATGTGCCCAAGGTCACACAGCTGGTAGTCATCAGACACAGATCCAGAGCCTGGCCCTGTCTGACTGAGACGGAGTGGGGCCTAGGCTTCCTGCCGTAGGAACCTCAGTCTATTAAGGCCTCTGCCTGTGCAGGTCCCATCCTAGGCAGTGCTGGCGGAAGCCCCTGACTCCCCGCTTGCCTGGAGCTCTGCTCACTGGGCAGAAGGGTCCCTGGCACCAGCCCTGGAGGGACCCTGAACCTCTTAGGACCACCGAGTCAGGCACTGGTGTCCCTGCTGTCCGAATTCACTCAGTGCTTGGGATTTGGGTGAGCCACACGCAGGGACCACTTGACCCATCTCCAGGGGCTGGCAAGGGGTGACTTTACCTTCCACGCCCAGGCAGTTACGACAGAACCAGCTGCTATTGCACAAGCCTTACAAACACATACCCAGAGGCAGGCCTGAGAGGGCCTGCTGAGCTGTGTCACCGGAGTCAGCCCCCTCATTTGAGAGACAAGGGCTCAGGAAGGTTAGGCAACCTATCCAAAGTCACACAGTGTTCAGAACATTCTAAATCCAGTCAGCATTGTGAGAGCTGTGTGTTCAAACCCCGTAAGCGTTTATCTCCAGAGGGTGGAGTTACTTTCATTTTCTTCCTTATAAATTTGTATGATTTGAATTTTTCAACACGAACGTGGACCTGTTGTAATCAGGGGGGAAAGTTAAAAATATTAGAAGCCAAGCGTATTTAGGGTAAACTATACTCACTGTATTTAGGGTAACTTGTTAAAGACAAGTTACAGAATTAGGCTGCTTGGGTTAGAATCCCAGCTTGACCACACATCAGCTGTGTGTCCTTGGGAAAGTAACTTTACCTCTCAAAGACTCAGTTTCCTCATGTGTAAAATGAGGATAATAATAACATCTTGTAGGGCCGGTCGGTATGAAGAGCATATGGGACAGGGGTCAGTAAACTACAGCTCCTGACCCAAATTCAGCCCACTCCCTCTTTTGATACCACCCACAAGCTAAGAATGGTTTTTACATGTCAAATGGTTGTAGAAAAAAAAATCAAAAGAAGAATAATGTTCTGTGACACATGAAAGTTGCCTGAAATTCAAATTCTGGTGTCTGTCAATAAAGTTTTATTGGAACATCCCCAACCTATTGGTTTACATATCCCCTGGGGCTGTTTTTGCACTACGATGAGAGGTGAGTAGTT